TATCTGTTTTTATTTTTAGTTTATTTTTAGCAAATAAATATATATACGAACTACGTCATTATTTAATAATATGTTATGTTATGAAGTGATTTTATACACTTGTGGTTGATGTTTATGTGATAATTTTTAAAATTAGTATTCACATATATAATTTATACTAACTTTAATTATTTTTTGTCGAAAAAGCTTGTTTAATTTTAAACTATATGATTAATAATTAATGTAGTAAGCTCGTCATTTTCGATTTCAGACAATAGTCTAATGCTGTTATTGCTATGGATCAATAAGTCTACTTTCAGCTTATAACTACTTAATAAATTTAATCTAATGCCAATTAAAATTTAATTTTTATTAAAACTTTGCGGGTTGTCTATTTAATACATTATATGTCATATCCCCACTTACTACGTTTATTACAGTTCCAACTAACGTTCTGATACTTTATAGCCAGCCTAAATTCTCTCAAGCAATTCAAATTCAATTTCCATAATATTTTTGCTCTCATTAAATTACACTAATCGCTTGCATTTATAACTAGCTTGTCGTTTGTATTTGGGGCCAAAGTGACAAAAACAAAAAGAAAAAAACCATGTAAAATAAAAACTAAAACAAAATGCAATAAGAGCGACCGATAACATAGTTAAAGCTAAGTTGAGAGTGCCCCAACTAGTTACCTACCTAGAGCTTTAAACAACAGTAACTAAATGAAAATTCAAAGCTAATATAGTGAAGAGCGCAAAGAAAGCGTACATAAACAAATGCAAAAACACAAAGTAAAGTAATGACAACAAACAACGCAGCATGCAGCACAGCTTAAAAGCAAACAATAACAAGAACAACAACAAAACAAAACAAACTCAGCGATAAGCAACAACGGCAACGGCAATGGCAACGACGACGACCACGAGCACGACGAGTAACAATCAAATATGCAGGAAAATGTGTTGCCATCATATTGAAAAGATTTTTGTTATACTAGCTTAGCAGACAAGAGAAAAACAAATCAAAAACATAAACACACAAATACACAAACATACTCATTTTAAACGCAAACACAAATGCTCTATGCGGCATAGCGTGGCGTATGTGTGCTTTTTGACCATGCGAAACTTATTAGACAGAACAGTTGTTATCGGAACTTACTACCATGCAGTATAGTGCCGCGGCGTTTTGTCGTATTGATTTTAATGCGCGCGCGTACTCAACCGTTAGTGCGTCTCTTTGCAATTTTTGAGTAAAAACAAAAAAAAGAATAATTTCATACAAAAAAAAAATATATATTAATAACAAAATATAAAATTTATATAAAAACAATAATATTAGAAAATTTCTGTGCAAATTTTATTTAAAAAATTCATTCAGAATTTTATGCGTGTGAGAAAATAATTCATCGTACGGAAAATATATATATGATATATGATTTAAATACGATTTGTTGTTGTTATCAGCAGAAACTATTTCATAAGTTTAAAATTTTAATTCAAAAATTTTTTTATAATAAAATAGCAACGAAAAAAGTGTTACATCCTTTTTAATACGGTAAATTAGTGTTTCCGTTTACGTACGTATATTGTGTCAACTATTTTATTCTTTAATAATTTTATTTCTTCATAAACTTTTAAAATTATGAATATATAATAAATTTACAATATACGTAGAAGTGAGAAAGTTTAGTGAAATTTTTGTTGTTGTTTGTTGAGTGAAATTTTTTTGTTGATATTTTTATAAATATTTTTTTCTCAGCTCGTGCCTAAACAAATGTAATAACGCTGTGCTGCATTTTGTTGTTATTTTTTTTGTAATTTTTTTTTGGGTAAAAAATTATTTTGTAGTAATGCAGATATATTTTTTTTTTTTTATAAGTTTGAGTTTAAGCATAATTCAATTTTTTTTATTATTTGCTTTATTAAAGCCTTAGTATTTAAAAAATTACAGTTTTATTGGCCATTTTTGCTGCCAAAAATGATACAACAAAAACATTTACGTTCAAGTTCTTTGCCAACAACAATTTAAGCTGCAGGTTTTTTGTTATTGTTTTTATTTATATTCAATACAGCAACACAATTTTGAGTTCATTTAATATTTTCAATGTATCAATGTTATTGATTATAGTTGCTCTTATCAATTTTTTTTTTGAATTTTGTTTCCTACAAGTTTTTTTACAAAATTTTGTTTTTGTAATTTGTTTCATACATTATTTAATTCATTTTTTCTTTCACTGTCTTATCAAATTATTGCTTTGTATTTGCTTTTGTTTATATGTGACAAAAAATAATTTTGAAGCATTCAAAGTATGAATGCTTCGAAAAAAAATTTTTTTTTCAAATTTCTTTTTGTTGTTGCTTTCTTGTCTTCCAACGCGTGCATTTCTGTTGTTGTTGTAGACGCTGTTGTTTTAATATTCTATTTAATAACTTATAAAGATTTCGGTTTGTTTACGTTTTGATATACGTCAGAGCGCATCTTCTTATCTTATTCTTCTTATTCTTTTATTATTATGTAGTTGATCCATGACGAACTCTGTTAAATATTTCAAGTACAAAGTTTTTTTGTAGTTCTTAGAGATTTTGCAATAAAACAAAACCCAAAACTAAAAAAAAAAATACAAAAACAAAAAGTATTATGCTAATTTAAGTCGCTGCGTATTCTTGGAAGAAATTATTTATTATGCAAATCTTTATAAATAAATTATGAAATATTACTGAAATTTTCCATAAGAAAGTGAAAAAATTAAAAAAATTAAATTATGTTTTCTTTGTAACAATTTGGTTGATATGGTTAATATTTTATAATGTATATTTTTGTAACCTAGCATGAGAGTAAATTTGTAGTTCTGCATAAACATTATAATAATATACATATATTGCTGTGTACAGTATAGGCACACTGACCTATAAAAGCATTGTCAAATGCTATTATTATAATTTCCATACTCCATTAGGAGCTTAAGGAATCTGCAAAAGTTTTTCACTGCTTTCTATTTTGTGCTATTGCTCTCAACTCGTTAAACGATTTGCTCTTCTTCGGCTGAACTGTCCTTCTCCAGGTCATTGCTGGTCTATTAGATTATTAATATTAAATTCAAAAAAAAAATTAATTATTAAAAATATAAAAAACAATTTCTCTGAACAGTTTGTTTTTTGGAACTGCAATACATTTAATATTTAATTTATTTATTTAATATATTAATTTATTCAGAGTTAACTTATATGTTATAGAACGTGGTCAAAAAATCACACATTAGAATACATTTGAGCTCAATTGTTATCTAATGTGACAGGATGCATATCTAAATGGAATATATATAAGACTATTTAAGATAAATGACTGGCAATATAGTCAATTATGTTTATATAAATAATTACAAAATTATTGACTCTACAAACAGATATCTGATTGTGATTGCTATAAGGCAGTGAAGAAGTTTTTTTCCTATTAATGCCTTCATTTTTTTATTTACATGTTTATCGAAATCGAACAAATTTGGGGAAATCCCAACATTATTTTATGTCTACACATAACATATGTTGACTAATCAGCATCGCTTATTTTATTCATTATTAATTTTTTTTTTACATTATTTTAATAAATTTTTAATATGAATTTTAAAATAAATTTAAATTTTAATAAATTTTAAAATGGTAAATTTATTTCAATTGTTTAATAACAAATAATAACTGTTAATTCCAAAGAAAATATGGCATAATATCTAGAGTGTTATAAATTAATTCGAGATTTATGCATTTTGTCTAAGATTAACCAATTGATAATAAAAACTATACTAAAAGTGAATCTCAGTTTATATAGTTACTTAAGATTTTCCAATCGGAATTGATATAAGTCTTAGCTAATCTTCTTTTGAGTCCAGTTTCACGGATTTCATTTTTATGACTTCCGTAATAGTTTAATAACATGATCGACAGATGCGATGGATTGTTAAGAATATTTTGTATAATTGCGATTCAGGTAAATTTTGTCTGATTCGCGATTTGATTGGTATTTACCATAACCTTTAAGTTGATAAGGTTCTTCGCTTTGTTGTTATTATATTTTTGCAATCTAATAATAAAAGTTAGCACCCTATGAAAACCTTTCCGTTTTTATATAAAACATATACGGTACCTTGAGCTTACCTGGAGTAATTTTTATTGATTTGTACTAGGTAATACATATATAAGGTTATGGATTGAGTTATTTCTTCTTAACTTATGCTAGATAATTCTTGTATAAAGTGAGATATTTTTTATTAATTTATACTAGAGACAACTAATATATGGTTTTACGTTATTTGTGTGTATGGATTATGCATTTATATTCACATAGCAAGTATAAAATAATTATCAACTGTGCTTTCATTTAAACTTTCAATATAAAGTATTATTATATAAAATGAAAAAATTTATTTCTAATATTAATTTCATTATAAAATTTTTTGATAGCATATACTTATGTATACTATCTAAAAATGTATGCATTTTACTGTAAAATTTTTTTTTGTTTGTGTAAAGATTTCTTTGAATTAAAATCGTTTCGAATTAAATTTCATTATATGTATTTTATCACATATTTTTTATATAAAATTTAAAATTTTTATAAAGTGACCCTTTCCTTTAATACAATATTTTTGCATAATATGTAGTTGTATCTTCAATTACTACACACTTTTCCGTTGATATTTCTCTTCCATTCACGCTTGCCTATTCATAAGTACGATATACCCTCCCTTGAGTCTCGTTTGTATATTCATAATTAATATAATAAATATTTAAAGTAAAACTTTTTATCGCTTAAATGCTAAAATGCTAAATATTATACGGTTTTATTTGTTGTTATTATAATTGTTGTTGTTGTTGTTGGTTTTTGCTTTGTACTATACCCACGAGTGCAATCTTTTTAGCGATAAATAATATTAATTTTTTTTTGCAACTCAATTTGCATTGCACAGCAAAGACGGAGTCGAATTGCTCATTTTTTTTTTTTTGCATTAATTAAAGAAAATTTAAATAAATTTATACGAGAGCAACTGCAATAAAAATTGTTGAGTTTCACAGAAAAAAAAATATATAAAGAAAAATACTTTACAAGGTTTAAATTAAAACGACAACGGCAAACTGAGCCCAGATTAATTTTCAACTTTAATAGAAACAGGTAAGATTTAATTTTAAATCATTTATAAATATAATTTCTTTTAACTAAATTTAGATAGAAGATTTTTCTTTTTTCAGTTTTATTTATTAAATATATATTAATTTAGAAATATGTTTGATTGGGTTTAATACTGGTTCAACCAAAATAATATTTATATAGAAACTGAATAATATTGACTTCTTTAATTTTTATTGGATAATATATATGTATATACATATATATATATATTAGTTTTAGAAGCAATATGGATCTATTTGCTTATTGTGTAATCGAGAATGTAGTTACGCGAAAGCTAAACGTTATTGATATTTTATTTTTTTAATTCTTATTACAATTAATTCATTACTTATTTAATAAAATTTTTTAAATTTCAATTAGCGCATATATGCCGTTTTCTGAAGACGCCATATATCTGAAGATGTGATTTTAATTTTTAAACCAATATCCGCAGTTGATAGAGAAAATTATTTTCATATGATCCACATTTAAAATATTGGCTAGACTTTTTAATATATAGAGTTTATAGATATGTGATTTCAATTTTAAAAAGCAATATACGTTTCAGAAAGAGTATGTTTGTAGAATTTGTTTTAGGTATATTTTCTAGGAGGTCTACTTTATAGATTGCTATTTTCTCTTATTTGCCATTAGCGCTTGCAGTTAAGTAAGTTTTCTCATTTTATTCTTAGCCCTGTCTGGTAAGATTTTAGTTCTCGATAAGCTGTATCCTGACCTTATTGGTTTAGATGACAGTCCGCAGTAAAGTCCTTTTATGTCCTGTCAATCTCAGAAATTTTTTTGGATTATTTTGGGTAACTTTCATTGAGATTCTTAAACAAATAATTGAGATTAAACAATTGAGATTCTTAAAAAGTAAAAGTACATTTTTAAAAAACTTTTACCTAAAGTTTTATAAAATCAATGTTATAAGTATTTATTTTCTTTTTTGACGGACTTTTGGAAGTTTATTTAAAAATTTAGACCAATAATTACAAAAATTAATTAATCGTTAAATTAATTAAATTAAATTATTTAATTAAATTAAATGGAATTTATTAATTAATTAAAAAATTCACCTCATTATTTTTAATTCATTTTATATTAAACACATATATTTATATTTAAATCATTCTTATTTTAAAATTTATATAAAAAATAATATATGTTTTAATTTTGCTTACTATAAAAATATTTCGAAACAAGAATATTTTTGAAATAATATTAAAAGAAAAATTTTTCTTAATTAATAAAGTTTAATCTAAAATATCCAATCATCGTCAATCTTATCTTCATAAGTATTTCTCTAATTAATTAATTCTCATATAAATTATAAAGTATTTTTCCTATTCATATATTTTCTACGAACCTTTGAATGTACTTAAAAAACAATAAAATAAGTTCTAGTTATGATTATAGCCACACACCCCCATATCAAATATTAATATCCTCATTTTCCGCTGTTACTGTCATGTTAACTTAAGTTACTTCTGCCTTGTATCCTTACAATGTATTTGAGCATAAAAACTTTCTGACCATCTCCCTGATTAAATTTCATAAACTTTTCGCTTACCTTTGACTTTTAGCTTTGGTTTGAGTGGAGTCGATTTTCTTTGGGTGTCCTCGCTCGTCGTTGACATACCAACATTTATAGCCATTTTAGCTGGATACGCTTTAGCTGCGTTAACTTTAATATGTCCTTGTGCTAATGTCCATTTTGCCTTAACCTTTGCTGTTATTGTACTCTTAACATTCATATTGGCCCCCAATGTGTACTTTGTTTAAAGAAAATTTCTTATTTTAGTTTGGAAGTTAGTAAACCCTCCACTTGTTAAGGGACATGTCTAATGAAATTTTAGTTTTAGTTTATTTTAACAAAAAAAAAAAAAAACTACACATATATATATATTTGTTATATTGTTATATTTTCTGCGTTTTATAAAATTACTTATTATGTTACATTTATACTGTAAAGAAATTTTAAAGTAAATTAATTTTTCTATTGCGACGGCGAAACTTGCGCTAATGATATCAGTCGTCGACTTTCTCAAGTGTGCTGAATAGGTTAAGTGGGTGGGTTGGTGGTATGAGTGGTACAATATGTTGAAGTTTGTTTCTTAAAAGTACATTTCAAGGGTTTTCTACGTATACACTTGAAAAAATTGCAGAATTTACAGGAATCTTACTTTGAAAATTATATTGTTTAACAAATAAATTTATATTATGTAGAACTTATGTAGATGTATGGATTATGTATTATGTAGAACTGTTGATACGCATATGAGATTATAAAAATCAATGTAATTAAAATTAAAATTACAATTAAAAAATAACAATTCTTATAATTTTTGCATAACTAGGGATTAAAGTCTTTTTAATCTTTGAATAATATATAGTATACCGAGTTTGGAATTAGAAATAATACAAGTTCTAACTATTAGTTTTAAGATATATCCATTATATGGTCATATTTTTAGATCAGTATTACTTAGCTCTTGACATCAAGTCTTACAATTTGTTTCTTTTTTCTACAGATAATCTTTTACTCCATCACATCAGTAATCAATCAGCTTTACATTGTTATTCAGTTAATTCAATACGTTAATTTAATTATAAATATTATTTACATAAAGGTTCCCTAGTTGCATATAAACTTCTATACATTTAAAAAAATTTTTTTTAACCTTTTTTCTCAATTTTTTACGTTTAAATACGAATCATTGAATAAGAATAAGAAATTTGCTTTCATTTTATTAATTTTTTACAGTTTTTTTTTCCTTCTGTGCTGTTAGTTGGCACTTTGCATAGTGTTTATTTTAATATATTTGGTCCTGCATTACACTGTAACATATAAAAATATGCACCAGTCAGTTAGCTTTCATTTGAAATTTTTCATTAAAATTAATTTATCATAAAATAGTTTTTCAATTGTATTTCATTGAAACATAAAAATATGTACAAGGGAATACCAAAAATATTTCCTTATTGATTTGGGCTCCATAATTTTGCTTTAGTTATTTTTCTGTTTCATAATTTATTTTCGATGTTGTTCCTATTTTGTATCTTAAATTTAGATTGAGTTATTAATTTTATATATTTTTTATAGCATTAATTTAAAATTAAATTAACGACCTCAACCCAGTAATAATTAAAAAAACGTATTAAATATTGGTTGTAATAACAATTTATTAAATTGGCACTAAATATGAATTTTAGTATACCTATGTAATAAAATAACATGTTTGACCCTTTTTTAAGTAAGGTTTTATAATTGATGTCTTACTTCGATGTTTTCTTTAGATACACAAAATCTGGATTTAATCATATATTTTTTATTTCATTAGGGAAAATGATTTATTGGTAATAATATCTCTCATCTTTACTTTATTATTGTTTTTATATTAAAGATATATTCATACAAATTTCTTTTTAAATTGACTATAGTTACATTATTTTACTAACTTACTTATAAATATATATGGTTTCCATTAAACTTTTATTCAAATTTTGTTTTTATTTTGCAGTGTATTTTGAAAAACAATTTTTTCTCAATTACCCGTGTTCAGGCATAATAAGTGGAATCCTTAATTCAGGGCAACTGTTTAAATTTGTCTGGATGCCTGTATGCACCCCAGGAAAATGTAACTAAAGGAATTTTTTGAAGCAGTTGTTTATGTATTTTGACATTTGAAGTACATGCGCAAACTCTCTCTCAAGAGAGAGAGAGAAAGAGTGAGGTATGGGAATTTACGGGACCTGTTTATTGTTTGTTTGACTTACTAAGCAACAACAATTTAGTTAGTTCTTTTTTACTAAAAATATTTTGATATTAAAACTTTTTGAATTAAAACTTAATTCAATTAGAAAGTCATTACTTTGACCCTCAGATATTTAATAATACAATATTAAGAGAATTGTTTTAAGCACTTTAAAAGGCTCTTTAAAACAGAGTAACGCTACTATTTATACTCTCATTGCCTTGCAAAATTTCATTAGTCGCTCCGTTCCACGTGATTTTTTGGCAATTATTTATTTTGATTCTCACTGCATTCTTATATATTTTGATTTTGTTGTAATTTTTGACATTTAGTGTTTCTGTTTTTATTCCACCTTTTCATTGTTCGCTGTTCGCTGTTTGCTCTTCGCTGTACCCAAGTATCCTTGGAAAGCTTAAAGTGTCATTTGGTAGCTTATTTCTGTTATTTATGTGGCCATCAAACGTTTAACTTCTGAACTTTTGTGTGAATTTTGGTAACAAATTTATGTGAAGGATAATATAAATATAAACAAAATCAATTTGCTTCTAATTTGACGGCATTAACAATGTTGGATTTGTTGACAGCACTTAAAACTTGTTGATTTGTATGTAGTTTTATGGCACATTAATTTTACAATGATTTCGATGGGCTACTTGGCTACTTAGCTATTTAGCTACTTAGCTACTTGGTGTGAAAAGTAGTAGTAATGAAAAAATTAAATTAGTAGTTATTGAAGTTGTTATTTTTATTGCAGTTGTAAAGTTTATATATTTTTTAACAAAATGTTCTGACGATAACATAAAAGTTGTATGTTACAAAACAATTTTAAGACCAGCTAAAATTCAATACCAGTTGTGGTTAAAAATGATAAAAAATTTTTATTCATAATGTATTCTTATAATAAGAATTTATAAAAGTAACTTTTAATGTTTTAATCAAAGTTATTTATAAATTATTATGCTACAATATATCACCACTAACAACAGAAAAGTTGATGATACATTTTTAATTTTACATGAACGCATTATAAGTTTTAATATCTCAGATAAAATATAATTTATTATCCCTAATTAACTACCTTTCTTTACCCCTAACCATATAGTGTAGTTAATGCTCTATCGCGATTAGATATGCCATCACATTTCTAATTCATGAAAGAGAGCACTTATACACCTCCACCTCTTTAAAGAAACTCGATTATAGAAAAGTTTATATATGGAGTATTGTACTGTTAAAAAAAAAAAT